CACACTGATGAACATGAGGAAGTATAAAACAAGACTTCAGGGAGATTTTTTTTTGTGACAAGACAATGACAATGAAGATTTTGTACTGAAGAAACTGTAATGAGGAATCCGTGGTAGTGTAATAAATCTCCAGCTCGTCTATGGCCTCGCAGCAAGAACTACGTCTCTGTGCGTTATTTCTTTTACTTAGATATTTAAGAGTATAGCCACCTTTCAAATCCTCAATAAGCGCTGTGACCTAGAACTTATGTAGGGATATATTAATAAATTTATGAATATGAAATTGTGCTCATTCTATTGGAAATGAAAGGAAAAATGAGAACTCCATTACAAAACACTTCAATTATAAGTTCTATTACAGTTTTTTTTTACTGATTGAACAAGTAGCAAGTTGTGAATTTTTCATAAACCCTTTTAGATTTTTTATTCACCTAAAGCTGTATTCTTGTTTTTATCGAAATGCAAACAAGTTAAAGAAGTTATTAGCAAAATGAGAATGACGGATGCAAACGAGACCAGGGGTACAGAGACTGTCTGTTGCTAAGCAAAGATCTTATTCCTGGTAAACTTGCTGATCCACATGCTAGGGTTTTCAAAGAAAAGTCAGAGATGAGCTTTTAATCACTTGGAAGTGGAGCAGAATTGTTTTGGTAAATTTAGTTATCTTAATTTGTTCTGAACAAAATCAACTAAAGACTTCAGATGAGATGAGTGCATCTTTTAAATTTGTGCTGTTACTGTGAATAATGTGCATGAAAACAAACTATGCACAAACTCCAATATATCTACCATTACTGGATGGAGTTTTAACTTTCTATCCAATCACCACATTTAGATGTTGGTGCAATAAAGTCTCAGGATTTACGCCTTCATAAGTTCAAAAAGGAAGTTGAGTCCCAAAGAAGCATGGTAGTTTGCTCCTTTGGTTTGCATGTACTGACATCATACTTTCCATGTAGCGCAGAATTATAAAAAATGTGTATTATATTGTAAAATTTGCATTGCATGAGCTGCTTTTGGCATTTAAAATGCCAGTTGTAACAGAACAGAAACGCAGCAAGCAGTACTCCCAAGGTTTTCTTCTGGTCTGTGCTTTTTTTGTTTTGTCCTGCCCTTCAACAGTCGTCACCTGCATAGCATTGTTTACTAGGTTATAGGCACTTGTAAAAAAGCACAATGTGAAAGCAAACCGCAGCAAACAAAACAAAAAAAGTTCCCTTTTGGTCCTGCGTCTCAAATCAGAACCAAAGTCCATGAGGACTGGAGTTAGACTTCTACTATATGGCATCTAAATCAGGACATTAGCCAGTCATAATCATTTGCCAGGAAATCTTGACAGGCTAAGTGTGATTATACAATGAATGTATAGTATAATTAAAACTAATGCTCCTAGAAATACGTGACCTGTACCATCATGAATGCTAATTGAAAAAGTATAACAGGAAGAACACAAAGGAATTCCAAATAAAGTTGAGGAAGATGTAGAGAAAAATACCTTCATCATATCAGTAGAACAGAAACTGCTCCAGGAACATGAAATGTTTTTTCCCTGACTGACTGAACCACATGCCTCAGACAAAAATCTGGCACAAGCTCTTATCATTTTAAGTAAGCAGAATTTTCCTGGTTGAACAGTTTTTTTTTTTAAATGTGATCATTTTAAATAAATAGTGATTCTCAGTGTGGAGTAGTGGACCAGATCTGCTGATAAGACGATGCTTCTCTGGTTTACACGTTTTATGGATGTTAAGACCTAAGGCCTCGTTTTCTTTGTTTTCTAATTTGTGGCAGATGGAATATGGCAGGGGTGTCAAACTCCAGTCCTCTGCTGTCCTGCAGTGTTTAGATGTGCCACAGGTAAAAAACAGTGGAATGAAATGGCTTAATTACCTCCTCCCTGTGTAGATCGGGTCTCCTGCGCCTTGCTTATGACCTAATTATTCTTTTCAGGTGTGGTGCAGCAGAGGCACATCTAAAAGTTGCAGGACAGCGGCCCTTGAGGACTGGAGTTTGACACCCCTGGAATATGGGGTAACTGGGTTATCAGATCATTTTATGCTGAAAGCAAGAACTGTGTCCACATTCATGCCATACAGTCCAGGCTGTTTGTGTGAAATGGACTCTAAGGCTCGTCACTAATAGCAGGTGATCTCTGTTCTTCCTGGAGCCACATTTTTTGTTTTTACTTCCCTGTATTAGTGATTTTTACTTTTGCTAAGCAAAGGTATTTTCTTCCTGGTGTAGTTTCTGACTTATGGGGTTTTCATAGAGACGTCAATCAAATTTTTAATCATTGAAATGTAGAGCAGGATCGTTTTGACTGATTTTGTCATCTTGAACTTTTAATTTATCCTGAACAAAGATTGAATGACTAAAGATTTTTGAGGACATTGATATATTTTTAAATTTAAAATAATACTGTTGCTAATTGAATAATGTGCATGAAAACAGCCACTATGCACAAACACCCAATATATCCACTTAACTCAACTTGGTTGAATTTGAACTTTCTACATGATCATATTTTGATGTTGATGAGATAAAATCTCAGAATTAAACCTCTTAGTTATTCACCCACAGGTTTTATTAACATGTTATCCATGTTGAAAATATATTTTTTGTATTGAGACAAAGGCTAAATGTATCTCGACCTCTTCTGAATTACACACTGCACAAAGTTTTTATACAAGTTGATCTGCTTTCTGGATGCTTCAAGGAAGCATGGAAACATTTCACTTGCTTGAGGAAAGGACAGGCTTTAAATATTTTCTGTATTGTTGAACGTGAGCCAGAATAGATATGATGGTTTTTGTTTCATTCTGAGTAAAAGTAGGTGTGCGTTTGTAAGCCTTTGTATATAAAAAGAAGTGAGGTTAAAAGATCTCAGAAGGCTCTCATCATCTCCAGGAGGTAAGTTTGTGAGCAATGATGGATTTGTTTCCATCAACATGATGTAGAACTGCCTTTCGATGTCTCTGCCAGCACAACCTGAATCGATGATTCAGCAGGAATCTGTAGAACCTGAATACAAACTGATGAAGTAATTCAGCCAATTGGTTCAGGTGTGTTGGACCAGGGACAGATCTGACAGCTGCAGGACTTCAGTCCTGGTTCAGGGGATCTGGGCCAAAGTTTGTGTAGCTAATAATTTCTTTAAAAACAAACAGTGACTTTTCCTATATTTTTGTGAATTAATCCAGTTCAGCAAAACTCAACACCCTGCAGAACCTGATCTACAGACGGCAGAGGACTTTCTAAAAAGGTTTGTATCGTTTTATTTTAATCTTTGCAACATATATAGTTTTAAAATACATTAGTGAGTTTTTAGCAGAGTGATGACTTAGTGCGATGCTTCACATCCCAGTCTAAATCTGTAATTTTATCTGAATTATTTTTCTCTTCCTTCTGATCTAAACTTTGTTTTGGTGTTCAGACTTCTAGCTTCTGTTGTAGACATTGCTCATTTAATGGTCCATTTATCAGTCATGTTTTCCTGATTTAGTTTAGAAATACCTGATGTTTTCCCTTCAGCAGAACAGGAATATGCAAATAGGTTCTGTGTTATTTCAGGAATCTGTCACTCTATTGGAAATCAAACATCTTGAGATCATCTGGATCTGCAGGTTGTTGCCAACACCCGACCAAGGTTTGTTATGAATCACCACAAGTTCAACAGACTTGTTTAAAAATATCAGTATTAGTCTTGGTTACTTTGCATTTTAGTTACTTGCTGCAGACGAAACCAAATATCTACAATACTGGCATTAAGCTAAAAACCAAAGATATAGAGGACTTTGATTTTATTGTGATTTTCAATCATTCCAGGATGTTTATTGTTCCAGCCTAAAATTACTGATTGTGTGGCACCTTTTTCAAATTTTAATCTAACATATGAGCTTCATCAGAACACATATTGTAACTGATTGAATGTCACAGTAAATTTTATGTTGTATTTAAATAGCATGATTTAACATTGAACCATTAAAACAAATGAGAGATTTAATCTGAACACATTTATGTGGCAACACAATCAGACATTAGGAAACATTAACATTTTGCTAAAAGTTTTTACGTAGTTTGAAACACGTTTCTTAAACATACAGGATTGATGTGAATTCATTAGCTCATTGGCAGCAGAGGTGGATTTTAAAAACTTGATTAGACATAAAAGTAACAAGTTTTACGGTTTCATCACTTTTGTTTCCATTTTCTTCTGACTACAGGCAGATTGACACCAAAGAAGAACCAACAGTCAGGATGTGCCTGTTATTGACCACGCCGCTCTTCATTGCTGTGGTTGTAATACTTCTGTTACTCTGGCAGAACATCATCACTGTGGCAGACTTACTCAAAGGAGCAAAGCAAGTTTCAGATGTAGTAATCCCAGTTTTGGACGATCCAAAGATATCAGGAGCGCTAACGCTAACCGTCACTGCGGTGTTCATTTTGACAAACTCACTGGAAACGACTCTGTTGGCTATGGTTGATATCGCACTGTGGCTGCATTGGCTCAACATCCTCCCACTGAGAGAGTTAATTAGGTTAGCTACAGAGTTTTATCAGTCAGTCGTACCGAGAACAAATCAGACCTGCACTGATTCAAAGCCTGAAGCTAAACGATTGGCTGATATTGTTAAAGAAAAAAGCACTTTACTGACTTCACAAACTGGCCATGCCCCAATTTACAGACTTCCTCTAGAAGAGAAACAGACCAACATTAATGGCTGCAAGAGTTTCACTTTTGGAGAGAAATCCATGAATTGTAACAGAAACATCATGGTTCTTGGAGCTGCAGGTGCTGGGAAGTCCACTGTCATCAATGCGATGATGAACTACGTTCTGGGCGTTAGATGGGAAGACTCGTTTCGGTTTAAGTTAGTGGACGAAGGTCAGTCAGACTCACAGGTTCACAGTCAGACATCAGAAATCACAGTGTACAAACTCTACCACCAGGAGGGATTCAGGGTGAACTACTCCCTCACCATCATAGACACTCCAGGCTTTGGGGGAACCGGCGGCGTAGACAGAGACAAGGAGATCACAGAGCAGCTGCGTAACCTCTTTGCTAACCAGGAAGGCGTTGGTGACATTGATGCTGTGTGTTTCGTGGTTCAGGCAGNCAACATAACCTTAGTGTCACTTAACTATAACCTTTGCCAAAAATTCCTTAAATTGAACAAACTTCTTATTACTTCATGTTTCCACACTGAAACCAACTTCAGATTCCAGTCGTATCGTTGCCTTTTTTTCTGTCCAGTTTAATTAAATTTCTTGTAACTGCTTACATTTTGGATTCAGTTGTATGAAAACAGACACCATTACATTCCTTTGGTTCTTTGGTTTGGTCCTTTTCTTGTGGTTTATGTTCTACAGGTCTTGGGATATTCATTGACAAATTTACTTAATTAAATTCTACACACAAATACTCCATAATGACTGTGGATTTTTGCACAAGTAGAGTGAAAATTAAAATAAACAATAAAACATATGTAGGTAATCGAATCCTGATGTAGGACTGGAGTTAAAGACCTCCTGCTCTAAGGAGTCTAAATAACTTTCCTTTGTGATTTTCCCATTTGTAAGATCTTCTATCAGCGCCAATGCATCAGTCATGGACACAATCCCAACACAAAACTGAAAATGGGTTTGATTTGACTGACATTTGACTGAAGTATTCTGTCCTAAATGTTATGCGTTTCATGAGATCATTTAAATCAGGTTCCTTCAAAAGAAAGTCCGATGTTGGGATTTTTAATTATGATGAATATATATTTAAACTAATGCTCCTTAAGATACCTGACCTGTACGAGTATGAATGTTTTATGAGTCATTACAACAGGAAGACTTAAAGGAGATACTGATAAAGTTGAGGAAGTTAGAAAGAAACATCCATCCCCACCATCATAGAACAGAAGTGAAACTCTTCCAAGAGCATGAAAAGTTTTTTTTTTTTCTAAACTCACTGAGCTCATACCAAAGAGAAAACTCTGGCAGGCGTCCTTAGTCATTTTTAAGTAAACAGAAGTTTCCTACAACAGTTATTTGAAATTGTCTGTGACATACGCCGAACTCGAGGTGTTCGGGCCAAATCCGTCCCTCCAGAACAGTTTGTGTCGCCGTCTAGAAGGCAACATGATGGGAATCTTATTGGTAAATTAATCTTAACCATCAAGGCAAACATTTTTCAGTTTACTGCCAATTTGTCAATATGAAGAGGTTCAATATTCAATGTGCTCATTGAATGGTACAGGTCTATATTAGCATTTGAACATTTAATGTGTAGTTTTATGTTACATGGTATGGCCCAAAATGAGAACGAGTTTTGTGCATCTGGTATAAGGAATTATTTTACATAAAATGGCTTTTGTCTTGGGCATGCTACTGTGGACCAGATATTGACCCTACCAGGTCTTTACACTAGTTTAAGGAAGTTTGTTTCTCCACTCTTCATGTTTTCTGGATCTCAAGAAAACCTAATGGGCTCGACACAGGAAGCAACAAACAACCGTGAAAGGCAAAGAGGAGAACCCAACGCACACGATGGTGACAGTAGTCTCAATAGCGACGAGTTGATGCCGGTGTGCCGCATAACTAGCCTGTGTGTGCACGTCTACATGTATGAGCTCAAAATTTTACACGGATTACACCAGTCGCTTGGCTGAAAGAGGGCAAACCGAAATTATTGGAGAGGGAGTGATGTCGCCTCTCGTATCAATAAATTCAATTCACTCTATTTATATAGAGCCAATTTACAAAAATCATAATCTTAGGCAGGTCACAAAAACGCCAGTTCAATTATACATATAAAATATTACCATTAATCCTTGCTTTCAAGCGGAGCAGCAATCTCAATTATTCAAAAATAGTTTAAACTATTTTCTATCTATGAATCAGTCGCTTGCGTTTTGTCGACTTTGCAGCAATTCCTCATACTGAGCATATCTATTACAGGAAAGGAAAAGAAAAATTCCCCTTTAACAGGAAGAAACCTCCAGCAGAACCAGAGCCCTTTTTCAAACAAAAATATTCATCCTGCTTTCCTTGCTGAACAACATGTAATTTTATTTTTATTTCCTGATGTTCAAAATGCATACTACTAAGTAAAGATATTTTCTTCCTGGTGTAGTTGCTGACTCACATACCAGAGTTTTAAAATAAGTCAGAAACAAGTTTTTAATCATCTGAAGGTGGAGCAGAATCGTTCTGGATGATTTATTTATTTTGAACTGAATTTATCCCGAACCAAAATCAAATGAATAACTAAAAACTTTAGAGCACATCGATATATCTTTTAAAGCTTAAATTAGTCCTGTTAATGTGGCTCAAATCAAACACTATGTACAAACTCCAACACACACAAAACTGAATGCAGTTTTGACTTTTCACTAAATCGCTACATTTGGATGTGTTCCATTATTAAGACGTTATCACTTTTAACAATATATATTCTTTCAAGTTATACACACTAAAATGACCTCAAACTCTTCTGCAGGTTGTAATGAGTTCATCAAGTTGTCTGCTTTTCGATTCTGTCCCTACAAGGGACATGCCAATGTTTCACTTGCTTGAGGCCAATATTGGTGTTCAAATATTGTGTGAGCCAAAATAGTTATGGTGGTTTTTGTATCATTTTCAGTAAAAGTAGGTGTGTGTTTGTCTTTGTATAACAGAAGGAACGTTTCCAAAACATCACAGAACCCACTCATAATCTCTGAAGAATAATTACAGGTAAGTTTGTGAGCAATGATGGATTTGTTTTCATCAACATGATGTAGAACTGCCTTTCGATGTCTCTGCCAGCACAACCTGAATCGATGATTCAGCAGGAATCTGTAGAACCTGAATACAAACTGATGAAGTAATTCAGCCAATTGGCTCAGGTGTG